CCAGGATCAGGAAATGGTCCTCCATAAAATGTGCTGCACACATCTGGATATTTGGGTTAAACTGTTCTGGAACAGTGTTGTAAATGCAACTTAACCACTGATTTCTAGTCGTGTCCATTTTTAGAAGGCCAAACAAAGTAGTTTTGCTTTCACAACGAAACACAGCGTCACACACGGCGGCCTAGAGTGAGCAGAGGCCGGGGGATAAAGTGAGGAACGGCCGTAGGGCTAGACTGAGCAGAGGCGGCGGATTCAACGAAGGAGGCTTGCGGCAACCACATGTGACGACCCCGGGCTGGACTCTGCTTCGTCTACGGTGAAAGCCGATCCGGTGATCCACTGCGCAAAGCTGTAGTATTTCCTCAGCAACCAGCACGGATCAGCTCTAGGCATGACAAAGCAGATATCGTCCTCATTTGGAAGGCCAAACAAAGTAGTTTCGGTTTCACAACGAAGCACACAGCCTCTTCATGACATGGCAGCGAACAATACTACAGCGAGAATAAAAGTTACGCCGCCTTTCTTTGCGTGAACATTTGGGCAGCGTTATGCAAATCTTCCCACATCGTGACGTAGACATGTGGGGGCGTGTTAGAACGAGCCGTTTTAGGTAGGCGTGGTTGACTCTTAACTTTTATAAAGAATATCTCTTTGGATTTGAGACTTTAGTCTTTGCAACTTTACAGATCTTCTTTATGCACCAAGAGCTTGTAACACTCCAAAGAGAAAGTTTGAAAATTTAAATCGCATCATATGACCCCTTTAAGGATGGATTTGTTTATTACAAACATGCAAAAACACCCCAAAATTATCCAACCTTTAAATGGATAGTTCACCCAAAAATTTAAATTCTTTAATTATTCACTTACTCTTATGTTGTTCCAAACCTGTTTGACTTTTTCCCCCTTCTCTGCAACATAAAAGAGGATATTTTGAGAAAAGTCTTAGGTTTTTTTTGTGTGTGTGTGTGTGTGTGACAAACAATAGAAATCAATGGTAGCCAAAACAGTTTGGATACCAACATTCTTCAAAATATCTTCTTTAGCATTCCACAGAAGAAAGTCAGTTATGCAGGTTTGGAATGACATGAAGGTACATAGATGATGATAGAGATTTTATTTATTTTTAAAATTTTTTGGTGATCTTTTTAACAGTTGCATTCAGTTAAAAAAAATAGTATCAGTTTGCATCCTGCACATTAAAGTTTATTTAAGGCAATGGAAGACATCTTAGATGACTTACTTGAGCACAAGAATAAATTCTGAAGTGTTATGCAGATTTTTAATTAGATCATTCCAAATGAAGACTGCAGGCAGGGGATGCTTTTGAAATTGATAAAACCTCTGCTCGGTTTCACTGCTAAATGCTTTGGTGTGTTAGACCTCTTTGTTTAGTTAAATTAAATCATGAGCCATTCAATTAAATACAAACAAGTGAATAAATTGACAAATAAATAAATAATCTGATTGTACCAATGGCCAGAGTGTTTTTCCTCTGTGTGTATGTGAGTTTTTGTTTAAGTGGGGGAATGTGTTGCAGCTTTATGGATCTAATTTCACTTCCCACACTCCCTGCAGTTGTTGGAAGATTTGATTTCACTGAATACACATTCTGCATTTCTCCTGCGGATTTATTTTTACTGTAGACACACACATGCACGCACACACACCCACCATATGCTGTGAATGATGAAAAATTCCTGACCCCGACAACATGATGGCCCAGAGCAGTTTAACATCAGCAGGTTATCCTGACCACTTGCTGCAAAACCTGGCATGACCAAGCTTTCTTTAGATCTCCTTAATGCATTTCACACTTGCTATAAAGCGAATGTATGATCTGTGATCAGATCTGTGGAACACATGCTGTATGCATACTTGGCTTAGTACAGTGATACTGCCACTGTATGAATTGCATGATGGGTAGGTTTTCTGAGGACCCATCACAGTCATACTGTACGGGTTAAAATATCTGGGCTGGTAACCAAAAGTTTGCAGGTTTGAACCCCATAATAGTTAGTGCATTTATTTATGCACTAAAAATAATTGTTTTATTTTATTTTTTATTCTTTATTTTATTTTATTATTCTTTATTTTACTTTTTGCAGTGGTTAAGAGCTCACTAAAGGGGAAGAATATTGTATATATGTGACCCTGGACCACAAAACCAGTCTTAAGTCGCTTGGGTATATTTTTAGCAACAGCCAAAAAAAAACATTGTATGGGTCAAAATTATCGATTTTTCTTTTATGCCAAAAATCATTAGGATATTAAGTAAAGATCATGTTCCATGAAGATATTTTGTAAATTTCCTACTCTAAATATATTAAAACTTAATTTTTGATTAGTAATATGCATTGCTAAGAACTTCATTTGGACAACTTTAAAGGAGATTTTCTCAATATTTTGATTTTTTTGCACCCTCAGATTCCAGATTTTCAAATAGTTGTATCTCTGCCAAATATTGTCCTATCCTAACAAACCATACATCAATGGAAAGCTTATTTATTCAGCTTTCAGATGAAGTATGAATCTAAATTTCAAGCAAATTACCCTTATAGTTTTATGGAACAGGGTCACATATAGCCTATGATTTGAATGGACAACTTTGCGAGATCTTAATGGTGGTTTTACATCCTTGCCTGAAAAATGTTCCTTTCTTTTAATTATCATATTTTTCTCTTTCTCTGCAGGAGGATGATATAGTTTACTTTAATGCCAAGGATAATGTGAGTATATAATTCAAGACTCTTCTGCACACAGACACGCTCAGCGTTTTTTTCAAGCGCAGATACTATATCAAACATGAATACCGTGAGCTCTTCTGTCCAGTTATGATCATGCGTTAGTGAGCTTATGTGTGAGTTATTTCAGGCAGTCAAGATATGATGATAATATATCTTCTCAGTTGACGCAGACTCGGCTGGCGGATACACACTCTCTGTGTGCCATACATCTCAACTGCCAATTAGGATGAGTCTGTGTAAAACACATGGTGGGAGTGTATGCACTGGTGTGTAAAATACAAGACGGAAAGTAAAGCAGGAGGAACATATAGAGAAAATAAGGTTTTATTCATTCAATGTGCAAAGCACTAGTTTGGAACAGATGCAGTACCTGCAGTGCAAAGCATAATAAGATGATTATATTGATAGATTAAATGGCTAGAGATTTATTTTGAGATTGATATTTGTTGTAAGCTTTAAAATGTAATGTATTCATTTGAATAAAGGAGATTTCATTGGGATTTGATTAGTGACCAACTAATTTATCAGACAGGTCAAATAAAATGTATGGAGAATTATGGCAATTTTGTGTACATCTTACATTTGTGCACAACCTAATATTAAAGGGATAGGTCCCCCAAAAATGAAAATGGTTATCATTTGCTCATCCACATGTTCAAAACCCATGACTTTTTCTTCTGTGGAACACAAAAGGTTACTTCATTTGTGAATGAATTGTTCTTTTGAGTCTAATCTTTTCAGTGAATCGTTTATCCAGTTCACAGAGCCAGTCTGTTTCTTGAGTTCTCAAATCTCTTACTCAATAAAGTTGCAGTGGCTGACTAAAAGAGAAGAATATCATTTGTAACTTTTAAGTTATTTTGGTCTGTTGTCACACAAACTATTGTATGGCTTCAGGAGACATGACATTTGATGTTTGAATTGTATGGACCACTTATGATACCTTAATGGTGTTTTTATATCCTTTAATGATGCCTGAAAACTTTAGTCTCCAATGTAGATCAAAGAAAGACATATGGCTTTGAAATTAGTAAATTATGACATCTTTTTTTCCTGATTTTTCTGTGCATATACCATTGAACATTTTGGAATCTTTAAGATAAAAAAAAACAGTAATTTTGTGAAATATTATTTAAATTTAACATAAATATTTGAATATAAACGTAATATATTTTAAAATGTCGTTTATTCCTGTGTTGGCAAAGCGGATTTTTTTTTTAATATGCTGATTTGGTGCTTAAGAAACGTATCTCATTATTATCAATGTCGAAAACAGTTCTCCTCAATATTTTGCTGAATCATTGATACATTTTTTTAATGAACAAAGTTCAGAAATTACAGCATTTAATTGAAATCATACCATACCAGAGTTGATTGCTGTTGTTTCTCTTCCAGCTTGAAGCCAATGAAACAGAAGGAAGGAAAAACCGGATCAGACCTGCATTTAAAGAAGACCCGTCATTCAAAAACCGCCTCACCTCCTACAACCATACGGCAGTGCATATCCCCACGGACATATATGACGGCTGTAAGTAACTCCCCCACCCCCCACAGACACGCTTCCATAGCGCTCTGCCTGCTCCGCCGTAACATATTATCTACTGCTGGGAATCTGATGCTCTGCTGCTGATTGCTTTGGATGTCAGTTATAAAACGGAGTATAAGTGTGTCTTTGGAAGAGCTTTTGGAGGAGAATTATAGAATACATTTGATAGCAAAGACTCTCTGGGGAAACTTTTGTCAGAATAAGTGCAGGTGCACTTGTTTGGATAAGCCCACGGTATGCGTGTGCATCTATTTAAACTAAATTTCACAGTGCTTTTTAAGCAGGGATAGTAGGCTGGCCAAGCCATAGAGTCTCAGTTGGCCTGCTGGGATAGCGTCTGGCTCTTTGGTGTTAGACGGCTCTTCCCTATTGACCTTGTCATACACACTCACACACAAATGGAAGGCAAATACATTCAGGTAATTACTTTGGCCATTGTGCCCTTTGGTAAACAGAATAGTGGGGTATTTGAAATGACATCAGGTCAGACAGATGTGCTCTGCGGTGAGCATAATATGGAGGATGAGTTTGCCGCCTTTTTAAATACAGAATACCGAATCACTTTAGAAATAAAGTGATGCTTCAGTCTCTTAGCACTGTTTCCAAGTCTTTCCGACACATGCTGATAGAGGTGGCTGCCCCTGTAATTTAAGAAGGGAGTTTCCTCGTCGCTTGTCTTGTAATTGTATACCATTTTATGCAATTATCTGTGAGTCATTTCCTAATCATATATTGCCATTTCTAATTTTATGTGTGAGTAATTTACTAAGACTAAAGTGGAACTATTGCAAGTATACTTCAGGTAAACTTTAAATATCTTGAATTTCAAGACTGATATTATACAGAGATCATACAATCCTTATTAATAGTGATATTAAAACACATTTTAGGCATAATATTAAGAAATGTGCATTTTGCAATAAAGAAATACTCCAAATGAAGTTAAATTATAATTTTATATCAGTAAGTCTTAAGTGATATGTCAATAAAGATGTTAATGGATCGAAAGTATACTTAGTTTGAAATAAATTTATTTTGCAATTATTTCATTATAATTGGTTTATAAACATTATTTTAAACATTATGCACTTTTTTTCCACAGATAGTCATGTTATCTTATGCTTTGAATAAACGTGCATTAGTAATATTTTGCTCATTGTGCCCTCTTGTGGCCTCAGAAAAGAAGCCAAAAGCTTTTCTTCACCCTAACTGAAATGATGCATTTTAAATTCGAATATAATTCAAATTATGATAATATTTAAGTACAAAATTCGAACTTAGTTTTTCAGCCATTTTGACAGCCCTAATGTGGATGAGATGGGCAGGACAATCTGCAAAATATTTTTTAGTAAATGATAGCAGAATTACATTTTTTTTTGCGTGAACTATTTCTTCAAACTTTTATATTTTATAGTGGGCGAGAGGGAAAATAACTAAGTGATAGAAAGAGACATAGATGGAAGGTGAGAAGGGTAGAGCTATAATTGCTGTGGTCTTGGGTCTGACCTGACCTTGCGCCAGAAGGAAACACAGTACGTGTGTAGAATCGAGCTGGTGACAGACCCTCTAATACTCTGTGCTGAAACATAGTTGTGTGTGAGTAATGTCCAATATTACTGGAGTGTCTATATGTCCATTAATTCCGGAGGTTGTTGACTCTATGTAAGGCAGAGAGAACCTAGTGGCTTTTCTCTAGCGACTCTAAAAGCAAAGTTTGCTCTATCAAACACTCAGAGACCACAAATAGCCTGGAACCTCCAGCACACACACATAGACACACAGAAATAACACAGATCTGCTTCTCCCGCCGGGGAGAAAATTGGATTTTCATGGATAAAGTAGTACATCGTTTAGGGGTTGCTAGAGGAGGGTGGGTGACCCCCCTCTGCCACAGTCAGCTAACAGCTTCAGACACGGGTCACGACGAGGCGTTCCCCATAGCGACCCCTAGAGGACGCAGTTCGAAGTTCCCATGAAAGGGAACTTAACCATGATTAAGACAGACAACTCACAGTGGGTGCTGGCCAATTTCCCCTCCTTCACATCCAAAAGGATGGATGTAATATAAGTGGAGGTTGAGGAAATAATCAATACTTTGGAGTATTGTGATATGTTACTGTTCATGGAAAAAAAATCTAAATTGTTAGAATAGTTTTTTCACATTTTATGTTACTAGAAAAAAATAAGATTGACCACCAGATAGAGCAAGGCTGTCAAAAGGCAAAATGTACTGTGGAGAGCATGCGAGTGGTGTGAATTTGATTTCAGTTTGAGTTTGATTGAACCAAACCACACATTTTTAGAGAGTTGTTGTGTTTGTGTTTTACCCCTTCATCAAAAAGGGCTAATAGGCTCATTTTAGTGTATAAAAACCCTAAAATGTGTGTAGAAGTGTTATTGAAGTGATATTATGTTGATGTGGGTTTTCTAAGCATATTGCGTAGCTGTGTTTGGAGAGTGTATGTGCTTTGCCTATTAATTGTTTCATTTGTGATAATGTGAGGGAACATGCTTATTGAGGAATGAGCATGAGAATGGCTGCTAATCAAACACAAGGGAAAACCCTTGAAATATTAATAACTGATTGTATTGTAGTCAATGTATACTGCATTTTCTGTGAGCTTTTTGATTTTCTATGCATTATTTGCTTTGTAAAATATAATCCATGTTCCATGCTAACCTGTAGTTAGCTTTTTTGCCAAATAATTTTTAGAGTTGAATACCTTAAGCAAGTTTAGTGTTTCCCTTTTTCAAGTATAACATGTTCTTCATATTTGAATGGTTTAATAAAACTTACATGAGTGGATGGATGGAAGGATGGGTGGGCGGGCGGATGGATGTATGGATGAATGGATGGATGGACGGGTGAACGGGTGGATGGATGGACAGACGGGTGGATGGATGGGTGGATGGGTGGATGGATGGATGGGTGGACAGGTGGTTGGATGGATGGATGGATGGATGGGCATATAGATGGGTGATGGATGATAATGGATAGATAGGTGGACAAATGGATGGATGGATAGATGCATAGATGGGTAGATAAACACATTGGATAGATGGAGGGATGATAGATGCATAGATGGGCAGAGAGATTAATAGATGGATAGACAGATAAATTGGATGAATGGATGGATGTACAGATGGATTGATGGATAGACAGATGAAGATGAAGCAGTAGATGCATAGATGGCAAATGAATGGATGGATTGATAGATGGACAGATAGATGGAGTGGTAGATGCATGGATGGGTAGTTGGATGATGAATGGATAGAAGGTTATGTGGACAAATAGATGGATGGATGAACAGATAGATAGGTAGATGGATAGATGAATGGATGTATAAATTGATAGATGAACAGATAGTTAGATGGGTATATGAATGAATGAAAGAAAGGATAGATGGACATATAGGTAAGTAGGTGGACAGATAAATGGATGGAGGCATGGATAGATGGCAGATAGACACGCTAGCATTGGTTTTGCACAGGCAAGCACAGCACACATTTTCATCAGTCAATGTATATTTCTGATTATGTCATTATTTGCACATACTATAATATGTGCAATTCAATTCAAACATACCTGATTTATTGCGCAGGCTTCAGTTCCTCTCTACTCATTGATCAGCCTTTTTGTCTTTTTTAGACAAAAAGCTGAAGAATTGTGCCTCTCGTGCTTCATTTCCTCATTTGCTTCTTCTCGTTCTTTCTCTTAACCCTGCCCTCCTGTCTCTGCTGCATGCTAACCAATAAAATTAAAGTTATGGTTGTTATAACACTGAATTTTTCATGCTTCATTACAATAATTGTTGACATGCAGGCTGTTTTCTCACCTGATTAGCATATCTGTACTAGCACTTCTGACTGCCTATCAGCACGCAGCCTTTTCAGAAGTGCAAGGTTTGATAGGATGATAATAGGTTTCCATGGTTGCCTCAGTGATGATGTAATAAAGTCAATCAGCTTGTTTGCGGCTGTGGAGATGAAGCGCCCTCAGTGCATAGCACAGAATTATTCCGTTAACAGCGGTTGAGATGAGAGTAAATTACACCTCTCGTTGTGTCTCTCCTCCTCCTCTCACTTCATTTCCTCTCTCTGGACTGTGGAAATCACTAAGCACTGTGACCTCTATAAATAGATTCAAGTATTCAAATGTTTTTTATTACACTCTTTGTTAATTAAAGGTGATGTAATAATTTATATAATAAATAATTTTAATTCATTAATTTCGCATTCAATTTGATGAGGATTATGAGGATGTATAATTATTGATACACAAACACTGCCGGTCAAAAGTTGGAATTATTAAGGATCATGTTCTGAAAGATCATGTGAAAATTCAGCTTTGCCATCACAGAAATAAATGACATTTTAAATTAAAATATATTCAAATAGAAAGCTTATTTTAAACTGTAATAATATTTCATAATATTACTGTTTACACTGTATTGTTCAGTGTTATTTTAGTGTCATTGCAATATTGTTCGTTTTTATTAATGTTTTAAATAATTTTTTTTAAAGATTTTTCATTTTAATTTTAATTGAAGTTTTAGTAATTTTGTTGTGTGTGCTGTCGTTTTTTTTAGTAGTTTTTGTTTTTATATATTCATTTTTATTTAATTTTTAGTTATTTTATTATATTAAGTTAAACTAAATTAAAATTATAAATATTTTTAGCAGCTGGCTGAAATAAATATATTTTATTTCAAATAATGATTTTTTTAAATTGTTTGTTAATTTGAATTTTAGTTAACTAATAACTAATAATAACCCTGATTGTTCATCAAATAAATGCAGCCTTTATGAGCATAACAGAAAAAAAATATTGCACTGTTAGTGCTATATCACTATTATTATAAATATTACAAGGTAATATAAGTAATACTTTCAGAATTTACAAAATTATCTGTTCAGATAATATATAGAGCTAGATAGGCAGTTAGGTGGAGCTATGGTTTTGGTCAGTGGCTGCTAAGCTGTGCTGGATGGTTGCTATCATATTTCTAGGCAGTGCAAGTGCATCTAAGCATAATAATCGGCCATAGAAAAAAAAATGTTGACCACTAATCAGAATATTAGAACTATAAAAAAACAAAAAACAAACAAAAAGGACAATTTGTCCAAGTCTTTTGTTGATCGGGGCCAAAACAAACAATCAATGAAATACCATGCATTGTATGCAGGGGCGCCATAAG